TTTGAAGAAAAGGCAGGCAAGATCACGGCACCTGAACACATTCCTCGTGTGCAGCATCGTGCCTAAGAACAACCACCTCCTTCCTCTGCTGTTCCAAAATCCTCTGATTAAGAGAACACGAGAAAAAAATATCCCAACGTGGCAGGAAGGCCACATTAATTGGGTGAAGCAAGCCAACGAAATGATTAATTTGCTGCTCTTCTTCAATATTATGTTTACACAAGTTGATTATAGCACTTAATTACTAATTCACCCTGCTCAAAAACAAGAGTGCTTTAAATTTTTAATGAGATGAGGGAAGGCAACATTCCCTAACTCAACAGGGAGAAGTCATTTTATTTCCTCTTTTGATTTCCCAAGTTATTACCATTTCTAAGGAAAAAAACTATCCCCTCCTTGATCTTTCACTCGGTTCTTGCTTTTGAAAATATGGAAATCAACAAGACACTTGTATTAATTTCAATCCATGACCTGACAGGTAATGCTTTGGAAGAGGAACAGACAATCAGATCATCAACTGCAGCACGTCCATTGAAGTAAGAGGAACATAAGTACACCAGAGACTGCCCGACTCAGAAATGGAAATGGCCTAATCCCCTCCAGTTCGGTCAGCAGAAATGCTGAGTATGTCCCAGTACCACTACGAAATGTTGCCAGGTCACAATTGCTAGTTGGTCCATTACGGAGGCTGTGGACTAACTGCTGCACTAAAGAACTTCTTTACATTCAGGATATTCTGTGGCATTTTCATTGTTAAGAGGCGAATACGCTGAATTTTGCATGTTCTTCCTAGCTGATCTTTATAAACCTCGTGTTATCTGTGGTTTCTTTATTTGATTTCATCCTCTACATTACACCACCCAACAACTTCCTTAGACAACTGAGAGGAGATGTCCTTTAAATTAAGCAGATTCAAGCAGTGCACAAACAGAACTCTTTCGAGTTCCTTTAGTAGAGAGTTTTAAGTGACTCATTTCCCCTGCACCGTCATAACTCCAAACCCATCTGCAATATATCTCCCTCTATGTCCGCTCTCTTGAAGGAGAGCCAGGTGACCTTGATCCACAGCTTCCAGGGCTGCTTCCAGGGATGCAAATTGTACCTAAGGGGTTCTTCACTTGCTCAACTGCTACTGCTGCTATTAATTCAGCTAATCCACATTAGGCAAGTACCTAACACCTCTTTCTATAGAATCTGGCTAATTTTTATATAACTCCAATCAGCTTTATAAAAACAATGAAAAAGCTCATCCCTATCTTTTTGCAGGATATACCACCAAACGTGCATAACAACCACAACTTACAAAGAAAAGACTACACCTCACTTAAAAGTCAATTTTATACCTGAAAAATCTTGTAGCCACAACACCTCTCTTTTCTAGCTCAACCTTTTACACCAAAAGTGATTACAGAAAGCTACCAGTAAAATGTATTACAGTAAATCATACAAAGTTTCTTTTCTTCCATATTGGCCAGTAACATTGACCCGTGTCAGGATAGCAAATCCAAAATAAATTTGGTAATCTGGTTTCATACAGGTAATTGTATTAATTGCTTTAATATGCAATTAAGGAATAGTCAGTGGGCTGGCAAGATTTTATAAGGCAATAATCCCGTTCGCTGGTGTACAGCTCTGTCCCAAAGAGTAGGTTATCCGAAAACAAGAGCTGGATGGCTGCCAGATCAAACAGCACCTTCTTCGCATTTTCAATTACATACAAGTGAGGGAGAGTAACGAGGATATACTGGAAACTTTGACATGTATTTATTGAACATTTTTACTGAGAAGGAATTGCTGGCTTGCTAAACCGGAAACTATATTTTTACTACAGAAACAATCGCATTGAAAACCAGGATCCTGCTGCTCAGCATGAAAGGAATGGCTGGACCCAATAAATGGACCCATCTAGGCCAGCAATGTTAACGTTATTTTGTTCGATGCAGGACATATTTCAAAAATCCAAAACGCAAACATACAGTGTATACTTCACAGGTCTTGATGTCATACGGGTCTACACAGCGCTGTCAACGTTGACTCAGCCAGGCTGTGTTACGGCTCACAGGAACAACAACCAAAACAGAACTAAACCACTGAAGAATAAAAGTGCAGCATTTGTAGGAGCAAACAAAAAGATTACCTAAACTGCAAGAAGAAATTCAGATTTTCTGCCCTTTCTGGAGATTCTAGAGACTAAACAAAGGGTGAAACGGGGAGTAACTCACACACTGCGTGTTCTTTTTTCTTTTCGGATAGACCAATTGTTTTAATTCAGTTTTACCACAGAGCAGAAAAATGCAGAGAGAGTAAATGAAGAAGAAAATAGAGAAGTCAACATTCTTTGAAGCAACTACATATGGTGACCAGGCATGAGAGATGGATGTTATAAATCTTTCCTCGGTAGAATTACCCAAAGACGAAATTACAGCTTCAAGGGGCTTGAGCTTTTAAAACCACATTAGAATCTAGCAAATTAACCTGGATGATTACAGATTTTGCAATAACCTTTATTTCTAATGCTTCTTTGCACAAGCTTAGCACACTGAGAATTTTCTTGCTAATGCAGATGTCGTCAACAGAAATCATGAAAACTTTTACTCCACAAATCACTCAAAATAAGAATAAAAAGATATGAAAATCAAGAATCAGAACAAAATGCTGCAACCTGCAAATAGGCAGTGTGGTATTACAGAAAGGGAAAGGAGACAGGAGGTATGATGGTACTCGTTTCTTTTTGAGAAGAAACTTATTTAGGGATACCAAAGGACAGAGGAAAAGCTCTTCAGTGTCTCAGCCACTCTGACCAATTGCCCAAGAAAGTGAAGGGTGTGAATCCTGCTGTCTCATGTACCCTTCTGACTGGATTCATCATACAGGGATATGTAGGTAAGGACATCCACATACCTTATCCACACCACCTTACCCTTAAGGAAATACCACCCAAGTCCAATGAATTTCTTAGCTGTAAGCTAAATAAAGCCCAACTCTCATTACTGCATAAGGCTACCGTAGAGTTGGGTCTTCTCTAGATGAGCCATCTTTTCTTTGCTCTATTGCAAAGGGATGCTCTGCAGATTTCGAGGGCCTTGTCTGTATGTCCAGATTTTCTGAGTGAAGAGCAGGCTGCCAGAGCAGCGGCTCTGACTTGGCTGCCCCACGCCCCTGCATTGACAGAAAGCACAAGCAGGTCAGCTCCAGCATATGATGCACCCCCAAAGCACCAGATTTAGTGTGCAGACACAAGAACAGCCCTGCTACGTAGACAGTAAAAACCACACAACTTTCTCCTTTACTATTAGACTGAGTGGACAAAGAGCTTTGGAAAGCCCAATAATGGAGTACAAACCATCGATCAGAAGACAGGTAACTCCTACTGTTTGCAAAGACAACCACAATTCTGAGTATTTGCAGCAGCACCTCTAAGAAAGGTCTGTTTTGGAAGATGTGTTAGAAAAATAACTAAGAGTAGGCTATGGAACTGCAGTGCTAGATAAGCATTTACACACAGCCCTGCCTCCAAAAAGACATTAATTCAGTTTCTTGTTTCTCGATCCCATGTAGCTGAATTATTTTTAAAATGTTCTTACATGATATAAATTATTTGCTGCATGATACAACTGATATTGCCAGTAACCTCTTGAACAGTAGAAGACCAAACACTTCTTAAATTAGAAAGTCTGTGACATGGCTGGTTCACAGGATCTCAGGTTTTACTGGAAAAGATTTCTAAAGGAGTGTGCTGTGCAGAGTGACGTATATGTACATACGTATAAAATACACATATCTGCTCTGACAGTGCTGGATACGCTTCTGAAATATTCTGATGTATAAAGGCAGGGTTAGAAACTAAAGGTAAATTGATAGACCAAAATTATTTAAGAACATATCACAGAAAATTTCACAGCATTAGATTTTTCTCATGGTTATGAAAACAAACTTAATGAAATCAGTTTTGAGATGTTCAGTTACTGCGAAGAGGTGGAAAATATCTTAAACCTGGAATGAAATATCTGTGCATTTGAAGGCAGAATGTTGACAGAAGAGTGAGCATTAAATATGAAGGCCTGTCACCAAAAGTTGCCATTAAAATTACATTTATCAAAACAAGTTTTCCTTACAAACACTGGAATCATGAAATACAGATACATATTGGACGATACATCTGTTGCAATGGGATTAACTTTAATGGAAAAATTCTTACGATTTTTTTTCTCTTCCTGCAAACCCGTGGTGCACTGTAGTATGTTCACGTTTGGAAGTTTCATGTTTGGAAAAATGCCAAACACAGCCCAGTTCCCCAGCTTGTGAGGAGCCGTTCATTGATTCCAGTGGAACTGCAGCAATTTAACTTGGGCGAGAAGCTGCCCCCCTATTCAGAAAACACGTTCAGATACGTTTTCGTGCAAAATTTAACCTCAAATACCTGTGCCTGACAGGCACCATAGAGATCATCCTAATAAATAATTTTGTGGCTGCAATGTACTGTTTAGTGTCCTGGTGTAGCACGAGGAGAGGTATCCTTACACCACTTTATTCCACTTCTACCAGTGGAACTGCCAGGTGGAAAAACAGAGATGATTTTGGGCAATCGGACCCTTCTTCAGGTTTCTGGAACATGAAGTTCCATCCTCATTGTTAACTCCTAATTCACTGTGGGCAAGACAAGAGGTGTAAGTGTCATTTTATACTGTATAAATAGTAGTGACCTTCTTGCAGGATCAGAGCCTTGCCAAATTCCTATTTTTTGTCTGTAAAATTCCATGCCCTAACTTAGACAGCAGCTTCTACCTGCGCATCCCTACAGGCAAAAGACAAATGAATCTTCAACACACTCAGGTAACACAGAGTTAAAAAAGAGTGGAGAGGAAGCAATGCTGGCTCTTGTCCGGCTGTGCAGAAGGTACCAACTTTTCCACTTGAATGGAAGTCTTCTCATAGGGCCAAATGTCAAAGTGTAAAACACATTAAAACAAAACCAAACCAAACAATCAGGTACTCCATACCTGTATAGACGCAAAATCCCCAGAAGCACAAGCTCCAAGAATAGCAGCACCCACCAAGACAGACTCCACTTCTTTGGACAGGACAACAGGCTTGCCTGTGCAAGAAAAAGCCGTGCCTCTGTTAGGAAGAATATAGCAGCGCTGCACTGGTGGCACAGTAAATAATTGAAGTAAGAAATACAAAGGAAAAAGGAAATCAAAAAGGACTTTAATACCACGTTCACAACTCCACTCAGAGCTACAGTCTACTGTAAATTAATGTAAAGCTCTGTGGTTCCAGGCTCCAAGAAAAATGCAGGATTTAAATAAAACCATTTCAGCAAAATAGGAATGCAGCACATAAAGCATACAAAGAACAAACCCCCAGATCTTTGACATTGGCTATTTATCAAAAAGGGCTTGGTATAAACCTGTTACCCACACCCTCCAAACCCACGTGCCCGTTAAAAGATGACCTCGAGGGGAAAAACAGGGTGGTATCCTTTTTGTTTCTTTTGCAATGAACAAAATAAAAGCTTGTTGGTGTTTGTTTTTAAATATAAAGCCAACAAAGCCAGGCTGGTTTTGCTGGGAGACATGAAAAAATGAGTAGTAAACTCTCACAAGTTATGTATGAAACCATAAGAGAAATCTTGTCTTCCAAATAGCGCAAGATGTTCGGAAACAAGATTAAAACACTGGGAAAACAGACAAACAAACTCACTATATATTCTGAAGTAGAATTAAGCACCATTGTTTCATTGCTCATGGGTACTATCAGGAGCACACTTTCCCTCAGTTCACACAGTTTTCTAAAAGATCTGTATTATTAGTGTAAAATAGCAGGAAGAAAAGAGTAATGAAAATTAAAATCAGCCTGCTTTCTTAATCCTCCTTTAAAAACCCCTATAACGATAGCATAAGTCTAAATACTTTTCTAGCTACACTTTGGATATTCATCCTCAGTAAGCCCAAGAACTTAATATTCCTGCAGTATTTGGCATGTGTCTAAATTTCGGTAGCTGAGATAATTTCACTCAGCGAATGGTGGTGCACACACAGCGGTGCGAGGAGGGCATCCTTCTGTCAACAGCCTCAGTGATAACATGCCCCAAAACCTGCTGCTCCTGAGAGCCAACTATAAGATTAGAAGGAGCTGAAATTTGGAAGATCTAAAGCAAGCCATGAACAACACCTACAGAGGAAAAGACAAACACACACTTTTCAAAATGAGAAATAGAATTATTAATATAAGAAACAATTACTGGCACAAAGCAAATTCACCTGGCACCCAGGCAGCCAGTTACATGATGCTAACTTTGCACTGTTCTACCAGTGTAAAGCTGCTTACAATCGATTTTTAGTGATGTAAATGTGCCTCAGTGATCTTCGTGCCACTTCTTCTTACAGTCAGCACAGGCAGAGGGACAGGGAAAGAACGTGGATACTGTGAGACCTCGGTGTTCAATTGCTGGAATGACTACTAACAGTGAACCAGTGTAATTACAGCATCCCTTACATTGCTCTGCCCAAACAGATCTACCTTACAAACAATAAAGCAGGCTCATTCACCTGAGAATTACTCCAGTTCAGATGGAGCACAGCTCAGGACTTGGGGCCACTCGGAACAGAAAATCTCAAACCCGAGCTTACAGCTACACGGCTGCTTGCCAAGCGCTGAAGCATTAAGCAATTTTCAGCATGCTCTAAACTTTACTGCACATTTCCCGCAGCATCTGAATGAATACAGAATTCTTACCAGGCAAACAAAAAGATCAAGATACTTTTTAAGTGGCCTGCGAAATTATCTATTGGATGTCTGCATGGCTGAGTCATGGGCATTTGCAGCTAACAATAATATATTCAGATTTTTTTCTTTTGGGAAAAGAATGGGGGATTGATCCTGGAATGTTAGTTATTTTATCTGATAGGCTCTAATGAGTTCAACACAACCGAGAGCATTTCACTCAGATGAACTCTGACATCCCTTGTCAGTCACCGATTTTACAAATGGGGGAGAACTCCAGACTGCAAAAAGGCCTTTTTGTGCTGAATTGTACTTGGCCATTAGTTACAGTCAAAGAACTTCTGATTACATTTTAATCAGAATACCTTTTCACAGATCTTTTCTTTTACACGCCGTGAGCCAGCATCCCAACTCTACACATAGCTGAAATTCACCTAAAACATGAGAGTTCTGTAAGGAAAGGCACACACTTCACAACATCATTTTTCACAAACGGAAAGCATGTCTTTGACTACAATGAGTTCAGTGAATTTTGAGGTCAATAGGCATTTTTGCTTCTCCATTTCTGTTTTCATCTCAAACAAGTACATAAAGCGTATTTTCATCTTCCCTCCTGCACTGAGGTTATGAAGTGTGGTTTGATGTTAGGACACGTCAGATCTCCACACCAAATGTCCAAATCTGAGCCTTAAGCTTCATACATGACAGCTCGACTGGTCTTAATTTGAAATACACCCAAAACACACATCATTCAACATTTTTCTGAAGTCTTCCATACTAAATTTTGTTATTTTTTCCACATTTTTAGAAGTATATTCAACTGACTCACAGGTGAGCTAAGATGTCCAACACACACAGGCGAAAGGGACACCAAAAATACCATGCAAGCCTGAGACCCGCTCTTGCAATGAACCAGGA